AAGCAGGAGGAGGAAGAGGAACAGGAGGAGGAGGAGAAGGAAGAGAAGGAGGAAGAAGAGGAGGAAAAGCAGGAGGAGGAGAATGAGAAAGAGGAGGAAAAGGAGGAGGGAGGAGGAGGAAGAGGAGGAAAAGCAGGAGAAGAAAGAAGAGGAGGAAGATGACAACTGTGGTATCCTTTGTGCTCTCTGAGCTTGGTGGTTTTCTTGAAGACGTTTCGTGACCCAGCTAGGTAACATTATCAGGACTAGAAGGAATTGTATATAAAGAGAAAGGACCACCCAATCCCTTCTAGCACTGATGACGTTACCTAGTTTGGTAATGAAATGTCTGTCAGAAAAAAAACAAGCCCGGAGACCACCAAGGATTCCACAATCCGGGGGTGGGTTTCAAAACTTTTTCCTACCAGTTTGGTCTGAGCGCATGCTCTGCGGGCGCATGCAAAGCAGCAATTGGCTGTGCTGCGCAGAACAGCTGAGGCTGCAAAGCAGGAGAGGTGAGAATAGAGCCGGCGCAGGAGGGAGGGCCCAGCAACTGATGGTCGGAGCGACCCGGTCCACTCACAGATGATCCTTGGAGCTACCAGTTCGACTGAACCGGGCCGAACCGGCGGAATACCACCACCGCCACAGCCCTTCTCCTCTTCCTCCTTTCCACAAATCCCACTTCTTTCTAGTCCTGAGGACATAACCTAGTTGGGTCATCTGCAAGGAAACCCACTCAGCTCAGAGAGCACTAAGGATTTCACCGTTCAATCCCAAGCTGCCGGTATTCCCTTCTATCGTCCCAGATTATTCCACCCAAACTGTTAAGGACATGGATGTTGCGGGAGGGTAATCCACGCATTGGGACAAAGCCCATGCCGGTAGTGATCTGGAAAGGCGTCGAGCCAGTGCTGCCGTGTACTGTATTATTATAGGCCACTTCTGCAAATGGCAATACATCTGCCCTGCTTTCTTGTTGATAATTTACGTAACATCTAATGCACTGTTCCACCCGCAGCATTCACTCGCTCAGCCAACCTGTTACAAGACGGATGAAAGGCGTAGGAAATCCTATTCTTTCAACCCACGCGACCAAACCAGGAAGGCTTGAAGTCAACATCTGGCTCTCGAGGGGATCCAAAGGTGTGGATACTTTGGGTTGCCTTTAAAACTAAACACCGGTGAGGTATCAACAAGAAGATACGAAGGCCTCCTCGATGACCGCAACCGGTTTCCGGCGTTACTTCTGAAACTCATTCAAAACTCGAGGAAGGTGAGACCAAACCACGGTTTAGGAAATCGGGTTGGCTTGCACCGTGTGAGCTCGCATTTTCCCCCAAACGAAAGCAACCCAGGAAGGTCGAAGAGATATTTCTAGGTGTCCACCAGCGGTGGCGTTCAAATAATTTTTTTCCTACTGGTTCAGTGTCGGTGTGTGCTTTGTGTGTGCTTTGCACACGCAGCGTTTGCAACTCACCTTCCGCTGCAAGCAATCGGCTGTGCTGCGCGCAGCAGCTGAGGTTGAAAAGCAGGAAATAAAGAGGTCAGTATAGAGCTGGGGTAGGTGGACGGGTGCAATCGCTCACCGGTGCTACCGGTTCTTTAGAACCGGTGTGAACCGGAAGCATCCCACCACTGTCTCTCACCAATTTCCCTATCATGGCAGGGAAGCTCCGTGGACACGTTTCTGGAGTCCACCAGGATTTTCCCAACCTTTTGACCAAGAAAGAGAAGGTTCAAAAGCACGTCCCATTCCCAGTGGACTTTCACCCAAGACACTAGGTGCTGGGAAGTTGAGGTTCTTCTCCTTGGGACGATGGCATCTCAACCGCAAAGATCCGGTTCCATTAGACCTGAGCCAACCATACTCCAACGGTCTCTCCCTCTCTCTCCACATGACCAACTGACTAATCTCCTGCCCTCCATTCTTCCAAACCAGGATGGCGGCATCTCTAAAAAGCTTCCCAGGTTGAGGAGCCACCTCTGGATTTCTTCAGATCGACGGTGGTCTCCTAGGACAGGGGTGTCAAACTCAAGGATCTGGTTCAATGGGGTACTTAGATCTGACCTGCCCTAGGAACAGCGAAGGATCAGCCCGCAGAGCTTCTCCCGATGAAAGCAGAGCTCAGGATGGCCGCGCGCCCCACCCCGGCTCCATTTTCAGTTGCGACCGCCTCCTGCAACCCTCTGACAGGTGGAAATCGAGCACGGGGTGGCCACGCCCAGTCCGCCCAGTCTCTGTTTTTTGCTGGCAGAGCGCTGCAGGAGTCTGCAGCAGCTGAAAACGGAGCCCAGGTAGGCCGTACACAGCCTCCCGGAGCGCTGTTTTCACTGACAGAGGGTTCCGGGATGCCGCCGTAGCCAAAAACAGAGCCTCGATGAGTGATGTCGAGCTGGCTTGCCCCCGCTTGGCCACACTCCCCATGCCACAAGGTCAAACACAACCCTAGAGTGGCCCCTGAGTGAAATCGCATTCGATACCCCTGTCCTAGGGCGACGACTCACCTTTCCTCCACCTGGCTGATATTTGATGTTATCCGTGGAACCGATCTTGGAGCGGATGTTCTTCAGATCCGGAACGGAGACGCTAATGGAAGGCCGGAGAGGCTTGGAAACCGGGCTGCTCTTGGGCAGAGCCTTGGACGCCAATGGCGGCTTCTTGGCTTCGGCCGTGATACCAGCCGTTCCAGGAAGCTTGGAAGCCACGGGTTTCACCTTGGGACGGCTGGCCGGGCCTCCCGACGGTGTGGGGAAAGCGGTTGTCGACACAGGTGCGCTCTTGGGACGGCTCGACTCAGCTACGAGGAGGGAAGCAGAAGAGGAGGGTGAAGAGGACAATGACGCCCCATTGAGAAAGGAGGACGCTGGAGAAACGGAACAGAGAGGGTGATTACCTGTTGAGGTCTTTGCTGGCATCTTCTTCACCTCAGCGGCTTTGACTTCTGTCTTGATGGCTGCACAACGCAAGAGAGACAAACGTTGGTTGATTTCCATCCTACTGTTGTTGTTCTTGTTGTTATTTTAAAATGAAGAACTCAGAGCTTCAAACATATCCGAATTCTCTGAGCTGCGTGGTTTTGGTGCAGACGTCTCATGACCAAACTAGGGAATGTCACCAGGGCTAGAAGGGAGTGGAGGTTTGAGGAGATGAGGAAGAGGAACGGGAGAGGGGGAGAGGGAGGAGGAGGACTGTGGGGTCCTTAGTGCCCCGAGCTTGGTGGTTTTCTTGCAGACGTTTCGTGACCCAACTAGATTATGTCATCAGTGCTAAAAGGGAGGAGGAGTTGCAATGTGTTTATATTCTAGTGGTTTGCTCTGCCAATACCCTAATGAAGGAACTAACTCAGACAGAGGAAGCAGGAAGGAAGGAAGGAAGGAAGGAAGGGAGGGAGGGAGGGAAGGAGAGAGGGAGATGGACGAGGATGGATGGAAGGAAGGAAGGAGAGAAATAGATGATGGATGGATGGAGGGGAAGGAGGGAGGGAGGGAAGGGAGGAAGGAAGGAAGGAAGGCTGGATGGAAGGAGGGAAGGAATGGAGGGAAGGAAATGGATGATGATGGATGGATGGAGGGAGGGGAGGAAGGAAGGGAGGGGCCTTCTTTTGCAAGTCCATTCTACTTCTAACCCCATTCCCAAGTTGGGTTGGACATCCTGGGCACCCGGTGACCAACCCAAACGCTCCACGCAGTTCCTTCAACTTCCGATGTCCCGTTGAGACGCCCCCGCCTCCCCCCCCCCCCCCCACAGACGCCCCCCCCTCCTCACAATTTCCCAGCCTCCCTGGGACGACTCACCGGAGGGCTTCTTTGGTGACAAGCCAGCCGCGGTCCTCGGGCTGGGCGACGTCCCGCTGGGGGCTGCCCCGCCCGGACTCCTGGCAGCGGCCAAGGGGGACTTTGCACTGGGCTTGGAAAGGGGGACCTTCTTCTCCGGGCACTTAACGTCGGTCGCCTGGTCAGGAGGAGAAGGAATCCCGTCAGAATGAGGAGCGCCCTTCACGTGTTTTTTCCAGAAGTTCCTTCGGGTCGAGAAGCTTCCTCCCAACCCCAGGTACGGTTGGAAGGGACCCTTTGAGGTCATCTAGTCCAACCAAGGAGGAAACCTACTACGAACACTGTCTTCTTTACTGCCTCAGAAATGAGAAAGAATCTCTTTGGAGTGTCTTCCTCGCCTCGTTACACAGCTGTGGTCTCTGCCGTCTCTGATCTGGCGGTTTTCCTAGCTCTTTTCTCTATAATATTAATATGCTCTATAACGCTTTCTCTATAATATCTCCTTTGTCGTCTGAGATACCAGGGAGAGTCCCTTCTAAATTTCTTCCTCCGTTCATTATACCCTAAACGGCATCTCTTCGCTCGGTCTCCCAAGGTCTTTCTCACAGATCAGAATACTACAAGAACAGAACTGGACCCCCAAGGCCTTTAATCCAACCCCCTCCTCAAAGAGGAGACCTACTATTAAAGCCGTCTTCTATACAGCCTCAGAAACTAGGGAGATAAATATCCTCTTTCTCCACCCGTTGAACAGCGGAGGGCTTGGCCATCTCTTATCTGCTCCTTCCCTGGCCACAGGGGTGGGCGGCTACCGGTTCTCACCAGTTGCTAATTTTACATCTGGTTCGCTGAACCGGTAGTTGCAACAACTGGTCGGCAACGATTGGCTTTTTTGAAGCCCACCCCTGCCTAGCCATCATCTCTTTATCGAGTTTCCCAAGATCGTTTGCACGTGGTATTCGAACCATCTCCTTTACCGGCTCAGAAACTCCACCCAGTTATATAGCAGTGAGCTCGGCCCTCTCTTATCGGCCCCTTCCCTAGCCAGCGCCTCTTTGCCGACACCCTGGAGGTGTTTTCTACATACCACGACCGGCGTCCGGACTGTCTTACGAAGGGGAAAAAAGCCCTGTTTGTGGCATGGTCTCCACCTCGGAAAAATCGCCACACTTTTCAGACGGCTTGCTAGTTTGCTTACCTTCGGTTTAGCCTCTCGGGAAGTTAAGCTGGAGGGTCGCGCGGCACTGGTCGACAGGCGTTTGGATGTGGTCGCTGCCGCAGAGGGGGGCTTTTTGCTCGGGCCCAGCGTGGCCGAAGCCGACTGCTTGACGGTGGGAGTACCCGCCGTCCCGGGCTTGGCTTTCGCTGTGGCAGGTTTAGCCCCGGCGCTGGCCAAAGGCTTGACGTGGAAACATTGCCCGTGAGCCGAACGGTAAACAAAGAGGCGATACAGAGGAAGAGAAAGAGAGAGAGAAAGAGAAAGAGAAAGAGAGAGAGAGAGAGGGAGGGAGGTAGAGAGACGGAACAAAACAAACAAACAAACAGAAAAGCCAGGTGTTGTAAATGAAAGGCCAAACATAGGCAAATCAAACAAACAAACGGAAAAACAAAACAAAACCCAGGTGCAACTCAAATCAATTCAGAATTAAAATAAGGATGGCGTGATTCTGTTCTCTGAGGTGAAAGGGAAAAGCGTCAAATTGGCTTTCTTGGAGCTTTTGCAGAATGGAGGTCAACAGGGTTGGGCTGCTAGGCGATTCGCCCCGGTTTGGACGAGCCCATCGCTAGTTTTACGGCTGATTCGGGAGAACCGGCCAATCCCACCCCTGGCTGGTCCCACCCCAGCCCACCCTGTAGGGCCTGCGTGGATGAAGCTCCGGGAGGCAAGAAATGGGTCCATTTCCGGACTCCGGAGCCTGGGAGAGGCCATTTTTGCCTTCCCTGAGGTTCGAGGAAAGGGTCCGGAACTCAGGGACGGCGAAAACTGCCCCCTCGCCATAGTCCAGGAGACCGACTAGGCCACGCCCACCACGGCCACGCCCACCCAGCAGCCAGGGCAGAGAACTGGTTGCTGATGTTTTTGAAGGACACTCCTGGAGGTCGAAGAAGATTGTGGAAGAAGGGAAGGGGGTTCAGAGGAGGAGGAAGAGGAGGAGTGTGGGGTCCTTGGTGCTCTCTGAGCTGGGTATTTTCTTGCAGGTGTTTCATGACCCAACTAGGGGACATCATCAGTGCCACAGAAGAACCTGAAGCAAGGTTCTTCTCAACCGTGGCAAGTTGGCCCCGACATCTTTCATGGAGATGAACCAAATATGGACTTGGCCCCCTCATCTCCAAAGATCCCTTCATAGTCCATACATGATCAAGCTACCAAGTTATGGATGTCCACCTAAAAACCGTTATCAACTTAATAGGTTTTCTCAACTTTGGCCATGGATCCATCCATCTTTAAAGGAGATGAAGAGGGGTGGACCAAATATGGACTTGCTCCATACATCTCCAAAGGTCCATACCTGTTCGAGATACCATGTTACAGATGTCCACCTAAAAAGCCAGGAACTTATAGCAGTGTCAGGGTTCCGACAGATGCCCTAATTAAGTCATGAGCCTCGAGCCAAGTTTCAAAAGAAATCTAATTATTTATAAGGAGCAACACGTCGGCCCTTTTCCCAAGCGCACTTGGCTCTACGTAATTTACTGCCCTCCTATGACCCTGTTTCTCCGCCTCCTCCCAGGATGTGTCATAAATCACCTTCTCCAACCAAAGCACTTTCACGGGCTGTAGAAAACGCCATACAGTCCATGAAAGCGCTTTGGTTGGAGAATGTGATTTATGACAGAGAGATGGACCACACATAGACTTGGTCCCTATATTTCCAAAGGTCCATCCATGTTCTAGCTATGAAGTTATGGATGGTCCACCTGAAAGCCATGAACTTCTAGAAGTGTTTTTCAACCTTGGACAGCTTGAAGATGGAATGGACTTCAACTCCCTGGAGTCCCCCAGCTAGAGCGGACCCCTTCGAGTGACTAAGGTGGAGACCGCCGCCGTTCCAACAGGTTGCAAGGAGCTTCTCCTCAAAGATCATCTCAGAGAACAGACCTTAGCGCTACAGCTTAGAAGCAGCAGGCTGGAAAAATCAAGCGTGTCCAAAGCAGGAAGCGTCGAAGGAATCTCACCTTGGTCTTCTTCTCCGGGCTCGGGGGAAGGGCCTTGCTGGGAAGGGCAGCTGTGTCTTCTGCCGACGGGACCTCAGCAGGTGCCTTCACCTCTTCTGGTTTGGCAACACAAAACAAAAGACCCGGAGACAACGCCGTTAGAATTGACAAGTCCCAATGCAACGGGGTTGAAGGCTTGAAGGACGACAGAACGCAAAGCGCCTATCACAGGGTTGTGTTGGCGGTGGACTTGGAAAGTTTCTCAAGGGCTTGGAAGGAGAGGCCGCCTCCCACTCCCTAAGCCCAGGATAATAACCCTGGGGGTGAATCTATATACTCCATCTGTTCCCCCCAGACTTCTGTTTCCATGATGTGCAGGTCAGAACCTGGCTTAAGAGACAAGCTGATAGATGTTGGCTTGTAAATCACAAGCCACCTTCAGCAAATATTTGCCCGGAAGATAGAAGAGACTCCACGTGTAGCTCAGTGTGGAACTCTGCAATCCTTGGTGCTCTATAAGCTTGGGCAGACCTTTCGTTACCAAAATAGGTGACATCATCCGTGCGAGGAGGAGGAAGAGGAAGAAGAACCATTAGGAAAAAAAGGAAAAAGAGGAAGGAGAAGGAAGGAGGGGAAGAAGGAAAATTTGAAGGAGGAGGAAATAAGAAGGAGGAGGAAGAAGGTGAAAGAGGAAGAAGGAAAAGAGGGAAAGAAAAAGGAGGAGGAGGAAGAGAAGAAGGAGGAGGAGGAGGAGGAGGAGGAGGAGGAGGAGGAGGAGGAGGAGGAGGAGCTGCTAGAGCGTGGTGTCAAGTTTAAGACTTACGGACTTCAACTCCCAGAATTCCTGAGCTAACTAGACTGGAGGAGGAATTCTGGGAGGTGAAGTCCACAAGTCTTAAAGCTGTCGAGTTTGGAGACCCCTGGTGTAGACCTTCCATGACCCGAGGAGGCAACCCCGTCTGTGCTAGAAGGGAGAAGGAGGAGGAGGAGGAGGGCTGTTCACTTGCAGACATTTCATGACCCAACTAGGGAACAGCATCAAAGGAACTATACATAAATACAAAGCAAACCCCACTCCCTTCTAGCCCTGATGACGTTCCCTCGTTGGGTCATGAGACGTCTGCAACAAAGCCACCCAGCTCAGAGAGCCCCAAGGACTCTGCGGTCCTTCTTCCTTGTCCTTCTCCTCCTCCAGAAGATTCCTGTACAAGTTTTGGCCAATAAATTAGATGAGTTGGGAAGATTCTCATGCAGAGCCTTTCCATCGGTTTAATCCATCGGGGTTGGCAACCTTAAACACTCAAAGAGCCCACTGGGTCGTTTTCCCACAGAAAAGAAAACACTAGGAGCCACAAAACCTCATGGGGGTTGAAAAATAAACGGAGCGCCAGTGGCTGTTGCACATTGGCAGTTGTGACACATGCTTTGAGGGACAGGGAGCCGCAGCAGAAGGACGAAAGAGCCACATGTGGCTCCGGAGCTGCAGGATGCCGACCCCTGGTTTAATTGAACCTTCACATATAATCCAGGCCTTTCACCCCATTTCATCCGGCAGAGGAATTCTGAAAATTGAAGTCCATAAAAAATAGCAACGGAGCCTTCCTCAACTTGCCTTAGGACCCCAGCGAAGACCCAAACATTCCCGTGCTAAGCGAGACCACTGTTAGCTGTGAGCTGTGTCCCTTTTCTGGGCCCAGGGGGAAACAAGTCCCGAGGATGGTGAAGTTAAGTCGTTAAGTGAATTTGGTTCCCCTATGAAGGTTGCAAAAGGAGATCGCGTGACACCTCCCTGCCAGGGATGCTGCCAACGTCATAAACACTAGTCGGTTGCCCAGCGCCTGAATTTTGATCACGTGACCCTGGGGAAAGACGGCCATGATTGTAAGTGTGAAAAAATGGACGTAAGCGTGAAGAACAGCGCTAAGTTCCTTTTTTCCAGTGCCGTGGTCTCTTCCGAAGGCCACTAACTGAAACCTTGCAACTGAAGGACAGCCAGTAGTCTCCTAAACATGGTGCTGAAGCCCTTTTCCTTCCTCAAAGGAACTGGACGCAGCCGGACAATCCAAAGGCCCCGGGTTCAGTGGAAGGCAGGCCCGCCTCCGCTTTCAAAGCAAGCTGTTTTTCCGGAAGGGGAATAGGGGGTCGCTTGCTGAAACAGGGGGTTGGACCAGACAATGTCCAAGGTTCATTCTGTTAGGGTCTCCTGCCTGAGCAGGGGGTTGGACTAGATGACTCTGAGGTCCCTTCCAATTCTGTCATTCTGTGACTCTTTAGGGCCCACCATTCCAGAACACCTTTTCATCAGGCCAAGGAAGAGCAAAGTTCACAATTTGGAGGTAGGTAGGTTGATAGGTAGAGAGGAAGACAGACAGACAGACAATAGATTGAGAGAGAGAGAGAGATGATAGATATGGTACATATGGGGAGGACATACGGTCGGTAGATAGATAGATAGATAGATAGATAGATAGATAGATAGATAGATAGATAGATAGATAGATAGAGAAAGATGAGAGATGATAGCTGGATGATAGCTAGTTAGCTAGACAGTAGATATGGTTGATACAGTAGATGTGGAAGAAAAAGAGAGAGATACGGTAGAGGGGAAATAAAGAGATAAAAGATAGATAGATAGAAAGATAGATAGATAGATAGATAGATAGATAGACAGACAGACAGACAAAGAAAGAGATGAGAGAGAGTTGATATAGATAGATGAATGGTGAATGGTAGATTGAAAGAAAGAGATGATAGATACAGTACATAGGGGAAGGAGATACAGTAGATAGATAGATAGATAGATAAATAGATAGAGTGATAGAGAGATAGAGTGATAGATAGAATGATAGACAGATATAGTGATAGATTGAGAAAGATGAGAGATGATAGCTGGATGATAGCTAGCTAGATAGTAGATATGGTTGACATGGTAGATATGGAAGAAAAAGAGAGAGATGTGGTAGAGAGGTAATAAAGAGATAATAGAGATAGATAGATGATAGATAGATAGATGAGAGAGAGTTGATATAGATAGATGAATGGTAGATTGAGAGAAAGAGATGATAGATGATAGACAGGAAGGCAGGCCGGCAGGCAGACATAGATAGATGTTAAACATATAGAGACAGATATCTCTCTCTCTCTCTCTCACACACACACACACACACAATTTCTCTTGTCTTGGCAGCCTCTCGGCAACAGGCCAGCCTCCACTGCCAGCCAGTCAGCTGGTTCATCCCCAGTTCAAAAGGCTCAAGGCGGTTTGTCCAGGCTTGTCAACGCCATCCATCCCGGTTCCAAAATGGGGTCAAGGACAGATGTCCAGACGTCACCGAGTTTACCACCACCCCTGAAGCGGACACAGAACTTTCTTTGAACTCAACCCCCCCCCCACCCGTCCCAAAATCTTGGCAGCTGCAATCCAGACAGACACAGACACACACACACACATTTCACAAGACTGGCTTCAAGTTTTGCCGCTCGGTAGACAATGTTTTATCGGAGGGGCTTTCTGTGGTTCGCCAGACCAAGCTTTTCCTAAAATGGTGGTGGGGGGGTGGGATGGACGAAGAAAGCTCCCCCAGACCCATTTCTGAGGATTTAAGGGTGGGTGGTGGGTGGGGATGTCTCTTCTCTCCCCCACCCCCTTCAAAGGGGGGGAGGGGGTGTTAAAGGCTGGTAGGAAGGGAAACGTGGTCATTCGTGGGGGTCTCTGTGGCAGTTTTTCAATGTCGGCACCGTGAAGAGAGGGCGGACTTCAACTCCCAGAATTCCCCAGCAAACACTCCATAAGATTGGTGTGTGTGTGGAATTGCCCTTTATTTAAAACATGGCGGCTGAGAATTCTGGGGGACAAAGTTCATTTATCTTCAAGCTGGGGGATTCTGGGAGTTGGAGTCCATTCAGCTTCCAGGGGCCAAGTTACACCCTTCACCTTGAGCCAAGCTGGCGAAACGTCCATCCATTCTCTTCAGGCTTCGGGAAAAATATTACATTTCGTCCAGTCATCTGAATAAAGTGCATATAATGTGCGAGTGTCTTTCCCAGAGGGAGGCCCATCTCAGATTATTTGACACATTTGACACTCAGAAAAGGTTTTTAACCCCCCAAATATACTGGGGAACAACAGAACTTGATTGTATCAAATTCGATTTTCACCCGCTTTATAAATGGAATTGCCATTTTTTTTAAAAAAAAAAAAAATCAGAAACGAAAGGAATAAGCAAATCTTTCACCAAATCCGAGCTCTGCCACTCTTCTCTTTGCCCAGTAGAGGTCGTCCTAGACTTACAATTCAGCCCTGAAAACCTCCGTCGCTAAACAAGACAGCTGTCGGGTCGCCACCGTCGTTAAGCAAATCCCTGCAGCCGTTCTGCAAACGTGGCTGCCCCCCATCTGGCTTTGCTGGTCCCCTGAGGACACTGCGACCATCGTAAGTATGAGTCAGTCGCCGAGCGTGTGAATTTTGAGGCCGCAACAGTCGTTAAGTGTGGAAAATGGATCCTAAGTCACTTTTTCCATGGCTGTGGTGATGCCAAACAGTCACTAAATGAAACGGTGGTAAGTCGAGGAATGCTTGGGCAAGGTTCAGAAAAGGCTGCAAATCCTGCCAGTCCTCGAGTTACGACTATTCACGGAGTTCAAAGTTAGGAGTCATGATCAGCCCTTTTTCAGTAATGGCCATTTAGGAGCCTGGCCACGCTCATGGAAGATGGAAAGAGAAAAATGAGAAAAAAGAAGAGAAGAGAGGAGAAAAAGGAAGGAAGGAAGAAGAGGAACGAAGAGAAGAGAAAGAGAAAGGAAGGAAGGAAGGAAGGAGAAGAAAGAGGAAGGGAAAGAGAAGGAAGGAAGGGAAGGAGGAAGAGGAAAGACAAAAGACAAAGAGAAAGAAAAAGAAAAAGAAGAAAGAGGAAGGGAAGGAAGAAAAAAGAGAAAGGAAGATGAAAGAGAAAAAAGAGCAAAGAAAAGAAAAAAGAGAGAAAGAAAGAAAGAAAGAAAGAAAGAAAGAAAGAAAGAAAGAAAGAGGAAGGGAAAGGGAAGAAGTAAGGAAGAAGAGGAAAGACAAAAGAAAAAGAAAAAGAAAGAGGAGAAGAAAGAGGAAGGGAAAAGGAAAAAA